TATAAAAAGGGTAATACATTATTCAATTAAATATTTTATAAATAGGTTTTTAAATGAATAAATGGATCAAAGGTAAAAATGGTTGAAATTTTTGGGATTTAAAATATGATTGGAATAAAGTAGGTCATTTTTTATATTTAGTGACTCATGTAAAGCAGGCTGATCATTCTTTAAGGTTTTAAAAAATAGAAAATATGATGATTGAAATTAAATTGGTCTAAATTGGAGATTTACAAATTAACAGTTATGGAACTGCTTCTAAAATACAGTTAAGTTTTGGGTTTAACATGATAGGAAACTTTCATTTCTCATGTAGGCCTTATATAAAAAGAGGGTCAAAGGATTGATAAAATACAACTCCAAAGTAGCAGATTTATAATACAAAAGGAAGACAGTGAAGCTGTCATAAAGTGTAGGATCAATCATTAACCAATCAACAGGGTTCTCTCCATATGAGCTCCAGACAGGACGGATGTTTCCAGGACCTGCTACCCGCATTCCAGGATGGAAAGGTAAGCTTGCACATTTATCTCATAAAGATTTCTTCAATGAGTTACAGGTCCTGGCAGCAGAATTTACAAAATACCAGACGTCACAGGAACGTCCAGGCTCGGGATCAGTTCGGGGAATCGACTGGGTGCGCCTGATGGTCATCAAAAGAAAGTGGTCTGAACCTCGCTTCGCCAGACCATACCGAGTCGTGGAGAGTACAACTCATGCTGTCCGTCTACAAGAGAGAAGGAGACACGTGGTTCCATTGGAGTCAGTGCACATCAGCTGAGGAGCCACGGCGCACGCTGCAGGGCATACAGGAGAATCTACAGTCTCAACCTGCGGTCGAGGATTGTCTGAGGGCACATCACAGCGCGGAGGAGGATCTGCATTTCCGGGCAGAAGTCTGCCAAAACCACTTCATTTTCCTGAATTACAAGGCTTAAAAGGCCCAGACAGGCACAATAATCCTGTTCCGGTGTCCTTCCATTGAGAAAAGGAGATTGCACCCTCTCCTTAAACTCACTGTTAAATTGGCATAATACTCCAATTTTCAGTGAGCAACGGACACTCAGGTGAAAACCTGAGGTTTACAACCGAGGAGGAACACGTGAAGGATCCAGCTACAAGATCATCATTAACTTATCTTCTTTTTATTGCGTGTTTTCGTTTTTGCGAACTCTTCAAGAACATTCGTTTCTTTTTGCGCGTATTTTTGGATCGTTTCCTGACGAAGAATTCATATTCATTTTTGAAAGACTATCGAAGGAGCATAGAGACGAACTCTAACTTCTTATTGTTGAATTGTGAAAAAAAAAAAAAAAAAAAGGTCTTTTGTAATTTTTATGTGTTTATGATGTATTTTTTTATGTTGTTATTGTTTTGTATTGACAAATTGTAATTTTTGTGGCGAGTATTGTCTTTTGAGTCTGCTGAGCATTTTTTGGTAATTTCGAGATATCTTGCTTTGGTTTTCTAATTTTATACTTGGGCTAATATTTCTATTGTGTGTTTTCTTCTATTGACATAACTGAGTTTTATGATTTTTCATGTTTGATAAGTGAAATGTATTTTTTAGTTTAGTTTTTACTGGTTAAAATTTTGTGGTTCATCAGGTGAGTATTAAATTGTTGGACAGCGCAAGATACATTTGATAAGTTTAGATTATGGAGTTCAGCTTTAGACACATGACCTGGCAGTGGACCTAGGAGGTGCTGTTTAAAAAGGGGACTGTTATAAAATTGGGCTAATGTTTTAGTTTTTTAGTATACTACATAGTTTTTTGGTTCCTCTATTAGAAGGCTTAATCATTTTATTTGTGAGGTCTGTATGTCTCAGACCTCAAAACGGGGACTGTTAAAGAAAAATGATTATTTTTTAGACTTTAATACAGTTAATCTTATGGCATGTGTAAACACTCTCACTTGAACATATTTCTTAATTTTGAACAAGGCTGTGTTAATGATTTAAAACTACTAATGGATAAGTATTTAGACCACCAGCCCATAGAATGAGTATCTCCTGGGGGGTGAATAACAGTTAAGCCTGCAGGAGAGATTTCTGCTTGGTTTACAGAAGGTCAAAAGTGAGGCCCCCCGCATTCCACAAGCTGTCTGTGAGAGCTTATCTTGTGTTTTATGACTTTAGGAATGCTAGATGCCAGGACAAGCTTTCCGCCTTTTCTTGTTAAAACAAAGAAGCAAATGACCCCAGATGTTTGCAGTAAATAAGGGGAAGCCCTAGCAGTGTCAGAGATGGCGTTTGATTGGAGGACCGAGGGCCAGCCCCTTTTTGAATGGATTAGATACAAGAGGATAAAGCTTTCTAATTAGAAGAAAAAGATCAGATTTTGCTCTTGCAAACTCTCCAAAGATGTCTTGTACGTCTTTGCTTTCTTTCCTCCTATGTCAGGTAATGGAATGTATGTCTCTGTTGTTCTGCAGTTTCTGGTGTAGGTTTGTGCATTGTCTTATTTCTAAGTTTATGCATTGTCTTATATTGGATTAAACTCTGTAATTCTGTGACGTCAACACGCAATGTTGGTTTTATTACCAAACGCAGCTCGCCGAGTGGACCTGGGGAAGGGAAGAATCAGAAGCCAATCTTTTTCCAAAGTTAACTATGATTAGAATATTTTCTTCCTTTACAATAGGTTCTCTTCAACTGTGAGTGATGGAATTTAAAACAAAAATCCAGAAAAATACAATGTATGATTTTTAAATAATTAATTTCCATTTTATTGTGTGAAATAAGTATTTGATTATCTATCAACCAGTAAGAATTTTGGCTCTCACAGACATGTTAGATCTTCTTTAAGAAGCCCTCCTGTTCTCCACTCATTACCTGTATTAACTGCACCTGTTTGAACTCGTTACCTGTATAAAAGACACCTGTCCACACTCTCAATCAATCACACTCCAGCATCTCCACAATGCCCAAGACCAGAAAGCTGTGTAAGGACATCAGGGATAAAATTGTAGACCTGCACAAGGCTGGGATGGGCTACAGGACAATAGGCAAGATGCTTGGTGAGAAGGCAACAACAGTTGGTGCAATTATTAGAAAATGGAAGAAATACAAAATAACGGAAAATCTCCCTTGGTCTGGGGCGCCATGCAAGATCTCACCTCGTGGAGCATCATTGATCTTGAGGAAGGTGAGGAATGAGCCCAGAACTACACGGCAGGACCTGGTCGATGACCTGAATAGAGCTGGGACCACAGTCTCAAAGAAAACAATCAGTAACACTGTACGCCGTCAAGGATTAAAATCCTGCAGTGCACGCAAGGTGCCCTTCCTCAAGCCAACGCATGTCAAAGCCTTTCTGATGTTTCCAAATGACCATGTGAATGATCCAGAGGAGGACTGGGAGAAGGTCATGTGGTCTGATGAGAAAAAAACAGAACTTTTGGGTTTAAACTCCACTCGTCATGTTTGGAGGAAGAAGAATGATGAGTACAACCTCAAGAACACCATCCCAACCGTGAAGCATGGCGGTGGAAGCATCATTCTTTGGGGATGCTTTTCTGCAAAGGGGACAGGACGACTGCACCATGTTGTGGGAAGGATGGATGGGGCCATGTATCGTGAGATTTTGGCCAACAACCTCCTTCCCTCAGTAAGAGCACTTAAGATGGGTCGTGGCTGGGTCTTCCAGCATGATAACGACCCAAAACACACAGCCAGGGCAACTAAAGAGTGGCTCCGTAGGAAACATCTTAAGGTCCTGGAGTGGCCTAGCCAGTCTCCAGACCTGAATCCAATAGAAAATCTTTGGAGGGAGCTTAAAGTCCGTGTGGCCCAGCGACAGCCCCGAAACCTGAAGGCTCTGGAGGAGATCTGAATGGAGGAGTGGGCCAAAATCCCTGCTGCAGTGTGTGCAAACCTGGTCAAGAACTACAGGAAACGTCTGATCTCTGTAATTGCAAACAAAGGTTTCTGTACCAAATATTAGGTTTCATTGTTCTGGTGTATCAAATACTTATTTCACACAATAAAATGGAAATTAATTATTTTAAAAATGAAAATAATGAATTGTATTTTTCTGGATTTTTGTTTTAGATTCCATCACTCACAGTTGAAGAGTACCTATGATAAAAAATTACAGTCTTCTTCAAGCTTTGCAAGTGGGAAAACCTGAAAAATCAAAAGTGTATCAAATACTTGTTCTCCCCACTGTATATATCTATATATATATATATAGATATATATATCTATCTATAAATATATATATATATATAATGTTTTTGGATCAATAGTTATGCATCTGCATATATTTACATATGTATGTCATATGTCTGAGTCTGAGTGTGTATTTATATATATATATATATATATATATATATATGTATGTATAGTGAGGAAAACCTGCTATTCAAACCTGCTGACCCTGTAAAATCTGTGACATATTTTCAGCCAAGTGCTCGATACATGTCAGATTGGACAATGTGTAACGTTAATTGACAACCACTGATTAATCTAATTTAACAAGTATGCTGGTAGATGAAGAAACTGCTATCATGACTGAACTCAAGCATTAGATTCAGAGTTGAGCTTTTAACATTGCCTCATCATTCATGTTTCAACTCACTGTTTGGATGTTTGAACATAATTTTCTACTTATATTGATAAAAATATAAGTTGAATTATTTTCATCATAAAGCGGCAAAAACATTTAAAAGGCTTGTTTGTAAAAAAATAAAAAATAAAAAATATTTATTAGACATACAACTCAAATATGGCTGATATTTCAACACCGGATCCATGATGAGGACATTTTTTCAACAGCCGTTAAACGTTGAAGGTCAGTTGAATGCCAGCTGGTTAAATTCTTTCCAAAGTGTGTTAAATGCTATCCTTCTTCTAATTATGTGCATTCTAGGCCCTTTGTGTTGAATTATGTGTCCAAGATGACAATAAAGCTTCTAAATATATTACCGTAGACCATTATACACCCACACACACACACACATATATATTTGCAATTGTTTAGTTAACTACATCAATAATGATATAAAAAAAGAGAGTTTATTTCACAGAATAATTCATTTAAAGAACCATACAGACTTCTTCATTGCAGGCAACAATCAGCATCCATAGAGCAACATGGTGACATCAGCTAAGAGGAGCAGCTGTGATGTTGTTGGTCTGAACCTGTGGGCCGAGCGATGCATCAAAGGCCACATACTCCAACTGGAATCCACCGGCAGTAAATGAAGCGTCAGATAGAAACTTCAGGGTCATGACATTTCCTGAAACACAGCAGAGATGGATCTGATTAAGAACTTCAAAGGGCCGAGTCTACATGGAGTACCAAGGTACTAGAATAAAACAATGATTTCCTTTGGTCTTTTCCTCATGTTGAAATGCAGAAATCTCTCTGCCTGTGGCTTTATTATAGAGGTTTTAAAGTAAAGGAAGATCTGTTATTTTTTGTTTGCTTGTTTGGTCATTTTACCCCAGTAGAGGGAGCTCTGGAGCAAGATAATTGTTGATGCCAAAGTACAAAGCTCAAATATTCACACATCATTTAAATCAAAGAATAAAGATTTCAATTTGTTTTCTTGTTACTAGAAATAAATATTATTCATAGAAGCATTTATTCTCTTAATCATCTGTTATATTCTACCGTAAAAGGTCTGCTTATTTTTGCAAACTGACATTTAAAACAAAAAAATTATGCATATTAAGAAAAAACTAAATAATAAAAGATCTCCTGCAGGTAGATATTATTTATAACAACTTTATATAAAGTAAACCATTTGTAAATTGGCAAATTATGAAACGGTAATGATAAAAGAAAATTGTAAAAAGCATTCACAAAACTGTAATTAAGTCCATAAGATTAAGAGGAATTATTAGTCGTAAGTGTTGCATTAAAGGAAAAAACGAAGTGAAAACAGACAGTTTCTTTCTTTCTATAGTTTGTCTATCAGAATTCAAACTAATTCTTTGATTTTATTTCATTTTTATTCTTTTCCCCATGATAATGGTGGAAATAATGTCAGCTTACCTGTGCTGATGATGTCATCTGGTAAATAATCACCACAGAACCTGAAACAAGATAAAAAAAAAAAATAAGAATAAATAAAAACAAAGATTACTTTAAAAAAGGGAAAACAATTTAATTAAATTCAAGTTTATTTCTATAGCGCCAATTCACAACACATATCATCTCTTTACAGTTCACCAGATCATCCAGTCAAGTTTTCTATCTAAGGAAAACCAGCTGATTGCATCGACTCATTGACTCTTCAGCAATCCCTCACACTAAGCATGCTTGTAGCGACAGTGGAGAGGAAAAACTCCCTTTGAACAGGAAGAAACCTCCAGCAGAACCAGGCTCAGTGTGAGTGGCCATCTGCTGAGGCCGACTGGGGTTCAAGGAGACAGAAGCAGACATAGAAAAAGAAGCATAGATACAAAAGGCAACTGTCAACCAGCTCCACAGGCGGCCCCGTCCAGGAAACACACAGCCAGGCAGACGAGCTCCGAGCCAGCTCCCATGTCAGAGGATGAAGAGAGCACATCCAGTTTATCACAGTCAGAGAAACAGGACTACACTGGAAAACAGGCCAAGCTCCAACATCTAGAAACAAAGGTGTTGATGGCAGCAGCACAGCTGATATTTCTCTCCAGGATGGTGACAAAACAAAATCCCATGAAGAAGAACAGACATATGGTAGATTTTATGTTTGATATCTATGGTTTGCATTAGTGTTCAGTAGAAGCACCTTTCACTGGAGGTACAGCTGCCCATCTTTTAAGGATGTTTGTTATGTCTCCCTGCACTACAAAAACTGTAAATCTAAGTGAGTTTTTCTGATCAAATCAAAATAAGTCATTTTCTCTTTAAATAAGTGCATTTTTTCTTAAATTGAGGAGGTAAGTGAAAAACTTTGCCAATGGAATGAGAAAATTTATTTTTAAAATAAAAAAAAAATCTTATTCTTAGTCTTATTTCAAGTTCATATTACCTAATCATCTTATTTTAAGCATAAAAATACTAATTCCATTGGCAAATCATTCTTATTTAGCTACTCAAATTAAGCGTAAATACACTTAAAGAAATTTTTTACAAATTTCTAGATAATTTTTGCAATGTGCATCACTTCTATGAATGAGCATTAAAATATTTCTTCTTTTGGATGATTGGCCGGATTATTTTAATACACACACACACACACACACACACACACACACACACACACACACACACACACACACACACACACACACACACACACACAAAAACGCACTTACATACAGAACACATACATACACACATGTACATATATATACATATATACACATACATACATACTAGGGCTGCAACTAACGATTATTTTAAAAATCGATGAATCGTACAAAAACTATTTTTTATATTAACCTCTTTATTCCAAAATAAACATTTTAGACAGAACAAACAAGCACACAAGTACAGGTTGCTCATTAACTGTACTGGTGCAATATGAAAAATAAACGTTTGTGTTAAAACTACGCAAACTTACATGAGAAATGTAGCTGTACATCCACAAAATATAGGCTACTTTGTTAAATAAAGCACAAAAAAAGACAGGCATTTTTGTTTTTAAAAGCCCCTAAGGGGTTCAAACAATAGGCCCCCCCCATTTCAACAAATGAGGTTTTTTTAGACCAGAAGAGTTCTGCCTTTTAAGACAGGATATAAGTATAGCAGTTAAAGTTGCTACTTGAGAAAATACTGAACCATAGAGATAAAAATAGCGCTGTGATTCAAATTATAAATTGTATTTGGAATAAAAATGAGAGAACTAGGGGTGCTAAAAAACACATCCTCCAAAGACAGATATTTACATGGGAATGTGGCAGATAATTAATTGACATATTACTGATCTTGCTGGATTTTATTCTGCTTTACTTCCATAAATTGCAGGATATTCTTTTCTTTATCTTTGCCAGAAGATTTAAAAGCCTTGCCCTCATAATTTGCAAGTTAATTTATTTATAAAGTAAATATAAACGCTGCTTAAACTACTTCAAATGAAATTAAAAGTAAAATAAGTAGCCAACCTTATCACTGTCTGTAACCTACTAACATGGTAAGGAAAGCATCAGATGAGCTACCTGAGCAACTAACGTAACGTTTCCCCACTTTAAAACCAAACAAACATGGCCGCTCACCCTGCTGATCAGCTCTCTTCAATGCCATCGAGGCTCCAACGTGTTTCCTTTTCAGATGCTGCATCATAACAGTGGTGCTTCCGTGCCATGTTCATTTGTTTTGACAAAAGTTGCATGTTACGACTTTTTTCACTTTACAAAGCGCAGGCTATTTTAATTATTGTGATCAATTTGTGCCGTCAATCCCGGCGCATGCGCGCTTCATTTGCAGTCTGGACACTGAGGGTAAACATCCTGCGGCTCTGACTGCAGCGCTGAGAGGGACTCCTGCGGGAGAACGGGGTTGGGATGGGGGAGGCGCCCCACGGCAGCTGGAGGACAAGAGTAGGAACGATACATGCTTTCACGTAAGTCTCCAAAACCCGCCAATAGCTACGTTTACATGCGCAAAATTTCCCCGATCCGATCCAAACCTTGGTTGATCGGAAATTCAAAATCTCCGTTTACATGGACACTAAATGAAATGATCCGATCATGACGTGTGTATACATGTACCAAGCGTTGGATCAGATTAAATCTTTTAAGCATGCGCAGAACTTCCTGCCAAACTTGGCAGTTCTGTCTGCGTCTGGTTTTTGGGAGGCCTGACAAACGATGCGCTCGGAGCGAGCGGAAAGAAAAAAGGAGAGAGGAGGAAAAAAGCGCTTGGCAGCGAAATGTACGAGAGAAAATGTAGAGAATGAGCGATTGAACCGGCGTGGGAGAGCGAGTGGGCTGTGGAGAGAGAAAAGAGGAAGAGGAGGAGGATAAATTCCTGCTTCCTGCAGCTTTAAATGAACTTGAGTGTATAAGTCGGCGTTCCTAGACTCCCCCCGCCATGTTGTTCACAGCGAGAGCGAGAGCGACCGGTGGTTTCCTGTTGTTGACAAGGCGGAAAAACGTCACGCTGACGTCGCACACATGCGCAGTGAAGATTATTTTACTCTTAAGATCCGAATGGGTGTTTACATGGACGCCAATCGGAATGGCGATCGGCAAAAACCACCTCTCTCTTTCGGAATTAAATTTAGATCAGATCGGACCGAATCGGATTAGAATCTTCAGTCTGACATGTTTACATGAAACATTTTTGATCTGATCAGGCCTTCAATCCGATTAGTTGTGTCCATGTAAACGTAGCTAGTGACACCGTAAAAAGTCGCCAGAGGGGTCTGAAAAGTCGCTAAATATAGCGACAAAGTCCCTGAGTTGGCAACACTGCACCTGCGGCGCTGCCGTATTTTTTTCTTCTTCCCCCGTTTCAGTCAAATGGATGTGATGACGGCGGATGACGCATTAATCGCGCGACACAACTAATCGATGATGAAATTCGGTGCCAAAGCTTTTAAAAGTCGATTTTTATTGATTTTATCGATTCGTTGTTGCTGCCCTAATACATACATACATACATATATACATACACACAGCAGAGACACAAGTGGCAGCACAGTTCGTTAATGGAAGACATTCAACTAATGCTGACATGACTGATGTTTGTGTGCCAGCACTTTCAGCTAAGCGAGGTCACTAACCTGTTGTCTCCTCCTGCAGAGGTTCCTGCTGAAGCTGACGCCACCCGTTCCGTTTCTACTCTTATTAAACTATTCAACCTGAACTGTCTCCAATACTGAGTCCACCTGTTCTGAGCCTATCAGATTATTATCTCTGCAGCAGTAAATTAATTCATTTTCAATTATTCCTTAATTTTTTTTCCCTTTTTTCATCCAGACAGCATTTCTCATATTTGATTATATAACTGTCACCTACACAACTTCTAGAACAATACCAATATGACACAAACCGTGAGCTTGGAGTGTAAGTCAGCTTTTTTTTTTAAATGTCCAAGAGACAATTGTACTTTCTAAGAAAACCTAGCCTGGTAACATGTTTCCACTCTTAAGTTTATTAATTTAGTCTGTGTTTATCTGTTACAGACCAGCTTGGAAAGACAGAATGAAAACACAATGGAACATCTGCAAAAAATTATCGACGTCCCTAAAGGAATGCTACTCATTAAACGGCAGGAAGCAGAGCTAATTGGCTAATCTTTAAAGAACTTCCCCTGGTGGGTCCTGCAGGGCGCAGTAAGAACTACCAGATTGTAAGAAAGTCTTCTTCCTCCAACTAACGTTGTCTTTGTGGATATTCTTCAAAATGGCACAAATCCAGAAGATCTTGAAACATTCATATTTTATGGAGACTGTGTCAAACTGCAAGTACATCATCTGAATCTCATCTTTATCTGAGGTCTTAAGAGTTTATTGCCGTGGTTACCAACTGTTTTTGACTTGTGGACCCATTTGGGCATTTTGTCTCTCAGTGAAAAGTATTGGTGATTGGCCAAAAGTGGAACGTACATGGTAAACTGCCTGTACTTATAGAGCTCTTTTTCATGTCAGGACACTTGACCAAAGCGCTCTTTCTTCATTCAGTCATTCACACACTGATGTTGCTGAACTTCTTTGTAGCCACAGCTGCCTTGGGCTCACTGACTGAAGCGAGGCTGCCGAACACCGTGCCCTCCGACCACCATCAGTAAGGCAAGGCAAGGCAAATTTATTTGTATAGCACAATTCAGTACAAAGACAATGCAAAGTGTTTTACATGATTAAAATACAGGAAGATAAAACAGAATCAAAGCAAGAAGGAAAATAAAAAAAAGTGCAAAAAATGGGTTAGCATCAAAAATTTCTCCTTGGGCAGTTGACAATTCCACAGAACCTTGCCTTTTGTTCTACCACCATAGAACTGCAAAACGTTTCCCATTATCTACAGGTAATTTAACTCTGCCCGATACACACCATTCCTCTGGTGCCGACCTGGATAACTGGGGGGGGATCCCACTCTAGATTACCGACGTCTCAGTAAAATTTAGTACCTTCTGGTTGCACCTACAACCTTCCTCTCACCCTTAGAGAGAGCCTCACGTTCCTATGTGAGGTCTTTTGGTTCACAGGTGGAACAAAACCTGAACTGCCTTTCTGCTCCCCAAAAAGAAAAGTTATCTTTTATTTTGTCTCTAACATTTTTGTTTATTGCAACATTAAAAGAACCTTATTTTCTTAGCAATTGATCAGTAGGCAATGCAGGTGTCTTGCCCAGGGACACAACAACACTGAAAGCCAGTGTTCTGTCAGATCAGCATACCCATAGACAAGACTTCAGATTTGCATACGCGTACACTAATCCCGATTATCCCTTTAGCTTATCCCCGTTTATCACTTTAGTTTTGTACGAAAATACACTTTACATCAACGGTCGTGTATCTCTTTAGTCATCTAGAAAAAAAAACTATTTAAGGTCAGATCGCCATATGCTTCAAAAAACACCAAAAAGTAAGTAATTAAATAGTTTGGCTTTTTTGTACATGACTAAAGGGGTTTACACTCAATAAGGTAGTTTAAAGTGTATTTTTCTTACATAACTAAAGGGATAAACTAAAGGGATAAATGTATCCTGATCTGACAGAACATTAGAGCTGGGGCTTGAACCAACAACCCTCAGATTGCAGGATAAACTCCTGCAACTGACACCTCTGTCGCCCATACACTGCAAAAACGATCTAGAAATAAGTAAAAATTTCTTAAATCAGGTGTGTTTACCCTTAATTTGAGTAGGTAAATACGATGATTTGCCAATTAAATTAGTGCTTTTACACTTAAAATAAGATAATTAGATAATATGAACTTGAAATAAGACAATGCAATAGTAAATTGTCTTGTTCCATTGGCAAAGTGTTTCACTTTCATCCTCAATTGGAGAAAAAATGCATTTATTTTAAGAAAAAAATACTTACTTAGATTTCCATTTTTTGCAGTGTACAATATCTGATTACAAAATAAAAACTAATTTACTCAGTTAATTCTTTAAATCTTTGGCATTTTGTTATTTCCATCTTAAGTAAAAAAAAAACAAACAAACAACATAAATATGTTGCTTAGAAGTTAGTAAAAAATTGAAATAAATAGGGCCCCAAATTTCCTAAATCCGCCCCTGCTTTTACCTATAACCTTTAAGCTTCCAAACACATTTAGCTTGTTTTACACTCACATTGCAAATGTTCTGTATCAATATTGCAACCTGTCAATCCATTAATGGTTATAAGGCCATTTGGCAGTGAGAACAATTATTTAGATTTTCGAAAAATACGTCCATCCATCAAGGAACTGCTGAACAAAGCAAAGATGGCCTTTATGCATAGGTTGCACTGCAAAACACTGAAATCAAAATAAGTCATTTCCTCTTTAAATAAGTGCATTTTTTCTTGAATTGAGGAGGTAAGCGAGACACTTTGCCGATGGAACAAGACAATTTACATTTGAAATAAAAAAAACAACTACATTGTCTTATTTCCAGTGCATATTATCTAAGGATCTAATTTTAAGAGTAAAAATACTCATTCTGTTGGCAAATCATCTTATTCTCACTGCTTTAATTAAGGGTAAATATACTTAATGTAAGACATTTTTCCTCATTACTAGATTGATTTTGCAGTCTGGTGACTTCAATTTACAGTGAATTGGTACAACCACGTCTCAAGCACGGTAGGGAGAAGTCATGATCTGGCCTATTATGAAGCTACAAACCCATGTCAACTTTAAATACTGTACATTAGACATATTCTACAATTAAATAGGACATCTCTCTTAATTTAAAAGTAAAAATAAAAATGATAATAATCAAACAATCTGATTGGAGGAAACTTGTGAAGAAGTTAAGAAATCCCCCGTTCCTTCGGTTACACTCACCTCCCGGCAAAACCCGACACATCGTCATAGCTGTCGTACACCTCCAAGTAATCTGCCATGCATGATGGGTCGTCCTCCATGTCGAGCTCCAGGAAGTGGAGGAGAATCTTCTGACCGGCTCTGACTCGGATGTGCCAGTAGCAGATCTGCTCGTTCTCATACTCCTCAGGGAAACCTGGAGACTGAATGATCTTCTGCTGCTCCGTCAGAACACCACCACACTCCTTGGCTGTCAGGCAAATAGGAGACACGAAGAAAATCAACCAAGGCTTTAAATCAACTTTGGTGCAAATAAGGATTAGTGCAGCAAAATGTTCATTATTTACACTGCAAAAACGTCCTGAAAATGTGTAAAAAATGCCTTAAAACAAGTCTATTTACACTTAATATGTGTAGGGAAATAAAATTATCTGCTAATGGAATTAGCATTTCCCTCCTTATAATAAGATAATTAGATATTATGCACTTGAAATAAGAAATTACAGTTGTTTATTTCTTGTTTTAAATGTATATTATCTTATTCCATTGACAAAGGATCTGACTTGCTCAATTCAAGACCTAAATGCACTTGTTTTAAGAAAAACTAACTCACTTAGATTTACATTTTTTTGCAGTGTTGGTTTATGGACAGGATGTGTTGGGAAGAAAATCCTGTGTGAATTCCAACAGCAGGAGGAATATAGGTCCAGGTGGCTGCATGAACTAACCTCTAAAATTCTGAGTTTTGAGAAAAAAAGTCAGAATTCTGAGACTAGAGTCCGAGTTTTGAGAAAAAAAGTCAAAATTTTGAGATTTAAGTCTGAATTTTGAGAAATAAGTCAGAATTCTGAGATTAAGTCAGAATTCGGAGATTAAAGTCAGAATTTTGAGAAAAAAGTCAAAAATTTGGAGACTAAAGTCCGAGTTTTGAGAAAAAAAGTAAAAATTTTGAGATTAAAGTCAGAATTCTGAGATTAAGATAAGCATTCTGAGAAAAAAGTCAGAATTCTGAGAAAAAAGTCAGATATCGACCTTTTTCCCCATATAAAACTGAAATAAAATAAAAAAATAAATTTACTTTTTTTTTTTTTTTTCACTGGCCTTAATCCTCTTCAGTAGAATCTAGTGTTACCTCTAAAGTAAGAAAATAAGACACATGAAATACTGTGTTTCAGTATAGATTTATGAACAATGGAATAAAAGCTTGTTGGACTTTAAAGCAAAGTTGTTTGCTGAAGTTGACATGTGATTTAGCATTCGTTCCTAGATAGAACAACCTATAAGCTTCTGAGGTCTAATGGCTTGGATGACTTCCTCTTTTTGTTTATGGAGCCTTTAAACGTGTCTTCTAGTCAGTAGTTGCTCAGCTGCCACTCCACCATCTTATCCTCAGTCGCCTTTTTTCCTCCCTCCTGGTTTATTCTTAGTCTGACCTTGATAACTCACAGGGTGGGACTGAGATTGTGGTTTTTGAGTCAGGGTTCTCTCCTCTTAGGTCATCACTGAGGTTCTCTTTATCATGGCTTTAGGTCTGACTGGAGTCTGGAGCCGGGACATCTTCCCTGAAGGAATCTGGTGGGACTCAGACTCTATGTTTAGGACCTACGGGTTTCCACCACTGAGACGGACTCTTTCAAGTTCCTGTAGTAAAATTATTAACAGAACAAACATCCTAAATCTTTTTAAAGGCAATTCAGACTAAAATGTGCCCCATATGTTGATGTGGGAGTTGGTTTAGAGGCAGACATAGTTTCTCTCTTTCCTGGAGCTAAATATTTACTGCCTCCACATGTCCCCAACATGCAGAATCCCTCTGAAACAGCTTGAGAGAGACGTGTGTGTTTTAGTTTAGCGGGATGAGCTCAAACAAACCGTCGTGTCTTTATTTCTGCCGTGCACCAACAGCTAAAACATGATGCAGATGCTAATGAAACCATGTTTTACTCAGGGAGCAGGAAATCTGTTTTATGAGCGCATTACAGGAACATCTCTGCAGACTTTTACTGCTATACTGACTCTATTGTCAGTCTGAGCTTTTTCATATTTGTCACATTACAAAAAAAAGGTCAAGGTGTTTTATTGAGGTTTTTCTCAAACAGAAAAAGCCAACGTAAAACATAATTATGAAGTGGAAAGAAAAGATGCATGCTTAAACATTTGTTTCTTGACAAAATCAATCTAATAATCTTTAGTTTGCATTTTTATCCTGACCTCCAGAGAAAAAAACCTTCAAAGAATTCAAATTACATTGTCCCAGCAATAACAGCTGCAGCTCTTTTGTTATTAAACTTTTTGCACTCTTATACGAAGGGGCTTCAGCTCAGCCAGATGGGATAGAAAACGTATGAAACCTCAGCTTTATATTCCTATGAGAGTCTCAGTTGGAGATAATGATGAACTTTGACTGAGACATTTAAAAAAAATGAACATGCTTTTATCTAAATTATCTGGTTTAATGTGAGAGATAACAGTAGATATAGTGAAACGAATCACCAAAAGAACCATCAAATTATTAGTTTAAAAGCTGACATCAACATCTTTGTTTCTAGATGTTAGAGATGTTTTTCTAGTGTAGTCCTGTTTCTCTGACTGTGACTAACTGGATGTGCTCTCTTCATCCTCTGACATGGGAGCTGGCTCGGAGCTCGTCTGCCTGGCTGTGTGTTTCCTGGACGGGGCCGCCTGTGGAGCTGGTTGACAGTTGCCTTTTGTATCTATGCTTCTTTTTCTATGTCTGCTTCTGTCTCCTTGAACCCCAGTGGGCCTCAGCAGATGGCCGCTCACACTGAGCCTGGTTCTGCTGGAGGTTTCTTCCTGTTAAAAGGGAGTTTTTCCTCTCCACTGTCGCTACAAGCATGCTTAGTGTGAGGGATTGCTGAAGAGTCAATGAGTCGATGCAATCAACTAGTTTTCCTTACATAGAAAAGTTTAAATCAATCTGAATGGATGATCTAGTGAACTTAGAAATAAACTAAATTGAATTAAAAAAGATCTGTTTGCAGAATCACTCAGTTTATGCAGCTGCAATTTCGCTTTTACAGTTAAATTAGGTTGATTAGGTCACACAGTGTACGATTTACCTTTGACTGCATTTCCTTTAGATTTATGATAAGTAATAATTATGGCTTTACAGACATTAAGTGTGCTAATCATTGACATTTTGAAGTTCTGGCTATAGGTAGTCACTCATCTCAGCTAAAAAAGTAAAAAAACAAAAACAAAAAGTGACTTTTAGTCCTTCCAATGAAACAGAGTGAATTCCAGATTAGAGCTGAAAATAAAATCTTACATAAATCATTGCTTTATTTGTTCCAGATCGTCCTTTATATCTCAGTTCGTCTGTGTGTCCGTAAAGTAGCTTCACTCTTGGTGTGATTTTCTGACGAGAACGAGGCAATGATGCGTTCAGGCTCTAACCCTGCCTGGCAGCTTGAATCCATCAATGTCTCTTTCATACACTGAGCCAGTGAGCTATTCAGCGGCATTAATCACCTCTGACTCAGTGAATGTGGACTCAGTCACAGCGCGAGCAAATCGCAGTGTAATTCGTACAGTCAGTGAGCTGAACCATCGCTATCATAGCCAAGGATGAATCTTTAAATTTTTTCATTCAATTACTGATTCATAAATTACCAGACAGTGAACCAGCACCATTTCTTATGAGTATTTCTTTGTGAATAACTCCTCAGCATCATTTCTATGTGTTTAATAGATTAACTTGCCGATAATTTTCTGCATTTAACCCATCCCCATGGGGAACAGTGGGCTGCCAATTGCACTTTGCTCAAAGAGCAGTTTGAGGTTAAGAGACCCAGGGTGGCAGCCTGTTAGCCTCGTGAGACCATCCTGATCTCGCGAGCTTTCAAGGTTTCACTCGCTAATCAGTCTGGAGACTCTCCGTTAAAGAAAATTTGGAGCAGTTCACCAAACGAACGTCCAATCAGCGTTGGCTTTGAGGCGGGTTGAGGTGTGACGCAACGAGAAGCGCGACAGTTCAGTCTAAAGAACATGGCGGCTTCAGCCGATGAAACTAGCGTTAGCGTGGCTATCGAGCAAGTTTTATCGGAATTACAGAGTATTTCTTCACTGAAAGAAGAGCAAAACACTGCTCTGGAGGCTTTTCTCAGAGGAAAAGATGTTTTTGCTCTTCTCCCGACTGGTTTCGGCAAGAGTAGCCTGGCTTGTGGTTGTGTTTTCGTCGTCGCTCTGTTAGTACGTCATATGCTTCGTTGATCTAATTGGTTTATTTGGCCCGTCTATCACCAACATAGGCCAATCAGCTAACCAGTATTTTCGCCCCAGGTTAGCAGTCTGTGGGACTTGGGTTTGAACTCAGAACCCTTTGGATTCCAAGTGCAATGCCCTAGCCACTAGGCCGCCACTCCCCTTAACTTAAAGCCTTGGGTTTAGCCTGTGCTAGCTACTAGCTTGTAGGTACTTCAGTCTAACTTGAGCCAATAGGTTGGACAATTACACCCTATAATATTATCCGGGGGTTGACGTTAAGGATTTTTACCACTTGCCCAGAAACAATTTTTACTTGCCCAGTATAAAGTTTGATAAATATAGTTCCTAATATTCATTTTTATATAAATCTCAATGAAACATGTTTGTTTTTTAAATGTTTTTTGTAATTCAGTATTTTTTAAGTTTCCAGGTTCCTGGTGTGTATCTGCATGCGTCAGATAATGAACTCAAGCCTACATTACCGTGTTAACATGCTTTTCAATCCTTCCTGCACATTCTTTTCAAACTAAACTTTGCTTTAAACTGTTGTGTGCTTGGAAAAATATAAATTGTAATGTTAAAAATCTAAAAAAAACTTGACAGGTTAAAAACTTACACTACTACTACTCACCAATTTAACATGTTTAGCTCTATAACATTTAAACGCACCACTCCAGTGTCTAAGAGAAAAACATTTAATGAACATTTTTTAATGTATGACCTGCATCACTGTACAGAAGACTGCCATATGATATAAATATTTACACTGTGCGCATACAGTTATTATTATTTTCCTAATCCCTGACTGATCATTTTTAATCTAGCGTGTATTATAGTATAGATTAAATTCATCATCCAGCTGCTGCTCTGCAGCTGAATGCTGAATCATGCCATCTAGCGGATAATCACGCGGCTTTTTCAAATCACGTGAGAATGTGTACAAAACAACAAAAATGGCGCCGGCAACGCTTGTGGGTCGTTTTCAGCGAATGTCGGTGATTTTAAAGTAATTTTGAGTGATAA